GGCACCCTGGGGGTGGCGGGGCTGGGTGGCCCCCTGGCCCCAGGACTAGTTAGTGGTACTGGTCAGGCCCTGGGCAGGACTAACCAGTGGGGCTGGTGAGGCCCCAGCCCCAGGACAGAACTAGTTAGTGGTGCTAGTCAGTCCCCAGGCCAGGACTAGTTAGCAGTGCCGGTCACCCCCGGGCAGGACTAGTTAGTGGTGCCAGTCACCCCGGGCAGGACTAGTTAGCAGTGCCGGTCAGTCTGCAGGCCAGGACTAGTTAGCGGTGCCAGTCATCCCAGGCCAGGACTAGTTAGCAGTGCCAGTCACCCCTGGGGAGGTCTAGTTAGCGGTGCCGGTCAGTCCCCAGGCCAGGACTAGTTAGCGGTGCCGGTCAGTCCTGGGCAGGACTAGTTAGCGGTGCCAGTCACCCCAAGCCAGGACTAGTTAGCGGTGCCAGTCACCCCTGGGGAGGTCTAGTTAGCGGTGCCGGTCAGTCCCCAGGCCAGGACTAGTTAGCGGTCCCAGTCCCCCCTGGGCAGGACTAGTTAGCGGTGCCAGTCACCCCAAGCCAGGACTAGTTAGCGGTGCCAGTCACCCCTGGGGAGGTCTAGTTAGCGGTGCCGGTCAGTCCCCAGGCCAGGACTAGTTAGCGGTCCCAGTCCCCCCTGGGCAGGACTAGTTAGCGGTGCCAGTCACCCCAAGCCAGGACTAGTTAGCGGTGCCAGTCACCCCTGGGGAGGTCTAGTTAGCGGTGCCGGTCAGTCCCCAGGCCAGGACTAGTTAGCGGTCCCAGTCCCCCCTGGGCAGGACTAGTTAGCGGTGCCAGTCACCCCAAGCCAGGACTAGTTAGCGGTGCCAGTCACCCCTGGGGAGGTCTAGTTAGCGGTGCCGGTCAGTCCCCAGGCCAGGACTAGTTAGCGGTCCCAGTCCCCCCTGGGCAGGACTAGTTAGCGGTGCCAGTCACCCCAAGCCAGGACTAGTTAGCGGTGCCAGTCACCCCTGGGGAGGTCTAGTTAGCGGTGCCGGTCAGTCCCCAGGCCAGGACTAGTTAGCGGTGCCGGTCAGTCCCCAGGCCAGGACTAGTTAGCAGTGCCAGTCACCCCTGGGGAGGTCTAGTTAGCGGTGCCGGTCAATCCCCAGGCCAGGACTAGTTAGCGGTGCCAGTCACCCCTGGGGAGGTCTAGTTAGCGGTGCCGGTCAGTCCCCAGGCCAGGACTAGTTAGCGGTGCCGGTCAGTCCCCAGGCCAGGACTAGTTAGCAGTGCCAGTCACCCCTGGGGAGGTCTAGTTAGCGGTGCCGGTCAATCCCCAGGCCAGGACTAGTTAGCGGTGCCAGTCACCCCTGGGGAGGTCTAGTTAGCGGTGCCGGTCAGTCCCCAGGCCAGGACTAGTTAGCGGTGCCGGTCAGTCCCCAGGCCAGGACTAGTTAGCAGTGCCAGTCACCCCTGGGGAGGTCTAGTTAGCGGTGCCGGTCAATCCCCAGGCCAGGACTAGTTAGCGGTGCCAGTCACCCCTGGGGAGGTCTAGTTAGCGGTGCCGGTCAGTCCCCAGGCCAGGACTAGTTAGCGGTGCCGGTCAGTCCCCAGGCCAGGACTAGTTAGCAGTGCCAGTCACCCC